TCATCACCTTAAACGAAATTGGGTAAATACATCTCATATTACTGATTTACTGGTAGTCACGAAAACAATAATTAATTTGTTTTAATAGCGTCGAATTATCTCATAGGTTTTATGAAGATCCTTAACTATAGTACCGTTAGGAGTCTAAACAAACCGGGATAAAATAAACCCCCTCAAACTTAGAAACGTAAACATGATAACGTAATAATATGTCAATTGTACACAATTCGTCAAAAAATATCTAGGCTAATCACAACATCATTTATCCCCCAAACCTGGCATCCATAAGTTGTATATGCCTAGAATCTAGAGCAATAGACTGAACATTAGAAAAGCTGAAGGATACTTTTTAATCTCTACCCAAGCCCAATCACTGTTTAAAGCAACCGATGCAAAGTTATGAAAGAGCCCCACAGTGACAATCACACTCAATTTGCAACAATTTATGGAGCAGAATTTGATGAAGAAAATGTATTTGTTCATAGGGATTTTCGAATCTCCAATCTTCATCTTATCCTCTGAAAAGTTAAATAGACTTTCTTTAGTTACCTATTAACACGCTAATATTAAACATTTATAGGTATGGCTTAGCATCATTTTTATGAGCATTCTTACTGTATTATAACGCATAAATATGTATGATGTGTTGAAATCTGATAATAAAAGGCACATTACTCCAATTTATGGAGTATATCTAGTTTTTTGCATAGATTCTAAGTCACTTGAAGAAAAGACAGAATTCACATGATTATAAAGAGATTTAAGTCCCCCTATGCCGTATAGGCTGGTAAGGAATTTATGGTTTAATTTATCTACAACACTTCGCTTAAATGGGCTGAAATTTTGACCCCATGGAGTCTTATCGGCACCCTTAGCAAGAATCGGGCCGTGGCTGTGATGCGTATAAGTTCCACGTGTTTCCAAGGCTCCGTCACACTCTAGCGAGTGTCCATGATACACGGAGCAGACATGAATTTTAAGTATAACTAGGCCTATCTCGTATCACATTTTATAAAGTGGGACTTTTGATTGTAATGTTTGTCAGAGCTACCATGCACGAATAGGAAAATGTGGCGAACGTCGTTTTGCTAATAAAAATTAGGAAAACTAGACGACTGTTGTTGGCATTCCGTCAAGTCAAGCTAAAATAAGGGATCGTAGATGTGAAGACCAACCAAACCAACATTAAAAAAAGAGAACTCGACAAAAAGCATTTACTGGCTAAGATGACGCACGCTGCATCATCTTTTACACTGTGGCGGAGATAAAAAGAAAAATGGTACTCAATTAGGACAAGCGATCATACCCATACTTGGACATTACTTAACAATGAAGTCCCTTAAGAGAAGCTGGTAGCAAAAGCAATAAATGCTCAGAATGACGCTGGATGGCAAGGCGACTCGTCCAACCTGACCGCTGGAGCATGCCTATCGCCAGCAACGGAAGCTGGGATATTGCAAGTGGCAAAATGGGCAGACAAGAAGGGACAAAATGCTGGAAATTGGCGACAATAGGATGGAAATTAGTGCTCTTTTGGGCTTCCTGCAAGAACCTCTGAAAGCTGACGCTTGTGTGGGTTATGGGGGAGAGAAAAGAAGAGTAAGGGGATAGCTGCAAGAAAGAGGGTCGGGCGAGAAAGTAGGTTGGAAGTCAAAAATGGTTCATGAGTTCCTGTCTGCGTGGAGGAGATAACTCGTTAACCTGAATATGGTTGTTAAAATGATGCACTGCTCTGATGCTTTCCGTCATATAAAGGATGAAAGATAAGCATCTTTTGACCGAAATCGAAAGAAATTGCCTCGGAAACAGTCTAAACAAGATTGTTCCAGGAAGGGCAATAAAAATGGGTCTTCGTCTTCTGGTGGAATCATCGTTCGAATCCCTTCAGCAAAAACTTTTTATTGTAATAGAAGCAATCTCACCGGAACTATGACATCTAGAAAATGAGGGATTGATCAACTGAGTCGGACGGGATTCAATCCCAAAGGCAATAATCGGAACCAACTCAGCTTGTGACGGAGGCCGATGAATGCAAGTCGAAGTACGACAAGAGAGCCAGTCCACCAATTGTCGGACTCAAGAGCAAGAATAGCCAGACAAAAAGATACACTTAAGCGTCGGCAAGACGTAAGCTCTGAGAGGCATTCACCTCCAAAGCAAATGGTATGGCGTCCTAACAACCAATTCGACTGCTAGCAAGTTAGATGGGCAGCAGAACGTCAATAAATTGCCTGTTGAAAGGACAACGACCGCAAGCCCAGAATAATACTGTTGCTAGTCGGAGACAATCCAATAAAAAGTATGTTAGAGCGAGGGGGGGAGCATTGTTTTTCACGCCAAGATCCTGTAAAATAAAAAAAATCTAAAAGTATAAAAAGCTGCGATAGAATTTGCGAAGGAACTGATTAAATAACTTGATTAAGTAAGAGCATAAGCGGCAAATAGTTTGTATAAAGAAGGTTTCATAAAAGAGTTGGTTTTCCATTGGTTGTGGCTAAATGGGAAATCTCTGGTTGCACCAAAATTCTCATCTCTGACTTGCGGTCTCTGCTGCCAGATTTGTACTCCAAATTCGGGCTAA